TTGGCTTCAGCTTTTAATTTATTGGGTTGATTTTGAAGCCCACCCATCCTGGCTGACATATTTCCATTTTAAAACAAGGTGCATTGGGGAGTGTATGGCTTGCTATCAAGCACAGAAGCGATTGTACTTAAAAGCAGGCAAAAGCTCTTCTAAAGGCAAGTGTATCCTTCTCCGAAGCAAACTGGATGAGGAAATACATGGCCTCAAGTGGAACTTGCCCACCCTGAAGGATGTTTTCCTCTAAGGTGGTATTTACCCCTCTTCCTACTCACTTGGTCAAGCTTCTTCCAGCTTCTTTAATCACCCAAGAAGGGGAAGGATTCAGGCATTTAAGTGGCTGATCTTACATTTCCAAGGATCTTGTTCAAATCATTAGTCTGCACAAACTGAAAAATATCTATTGTAGTAGGATCATCAGCTATCTGTGCTCCTCTCTGAGATGTACTACAATGGTAGTATCTAGGCTGGAACAGATAGTAGTGAACGATTGGCCCATTAACAGGAGAGAATTGACTGGGTCCTTGATTAGGAATGCTTTTAATTATTTGGAGCAGCTCCATGGGACAATTCTGTGGAGATGCAATGATGGCAGAATAGGGAGAATGTTTTGCCTCCCACTCCAACATGGAACATGCCTTAATTTGGGCTGTCTCTTGTGTTTGCTAAGATTCATCCTGTATTTTCCTCTATCAGTGCTGTAGTCTCCTTGTTGTACCATTGCTGGAAGCTTGATGGAAAAGCTGAAGCTCATTTAGCTCCATCAGTAAGGCATGTATCAATAATCTGAGTAATTTTCCTAAGCTAGTCAGCATCACCATTCTATAATATTAATGCTGTACCATGTCAGTGTAGTTTGGCTCTTTTTTGAATTAAGACTGTCCTGTTAGCCTTCTTCCCCATCTGGCTTTCTGCTGAGCCTAGAACAATAATGTGAGGCAATAAAATTCTTGACAATGGAGCAGATTACGTCTTAAATTGGAAGCAGCTGATATTCTGCATATGATAGCATGAGTCACAATCAGCTTCATATATTTAAAAAAAATCCCCTGTATTTCTGTTCTTCCAGTAACAAGGGCCCTTATATTGTGATATGAGAATCAAAAGGAAAAGCCAGAGATAGTTCTTGGAAAGTGTCTTTAGACACTCATCTGATAAGTTTTTCTCTTTTATTTTCTTCCTCTTGTCTTATAACAATGGTGAGATCGCCATGGAAGTATTGTTACTTTGTTTGTCCAGGGTGACACTGAGGACTCATTATTTCGCAGCTTCTTGCCATTCCTGCAAACTCGCTAAAAGGTTTTTTGCATGCCCAATGCCTTCCTTGATATACAGATGATCAAGTCCATAAATGTGATCATTCCAAAGTGCTTGCTCCATTGGGCTGTGGTCTCACTGGCAATAAGAACCACATTTAAGCCTTGTTTAAATCAACTTGTTGTTGTTGCAAGAACCACATTTAAGCATTGTTTAAATCAACTTCTTGTTGTTGTTCACATGACTCAAGGGTGAAATCAAATTATTTGGGCTACAAAGCGAGTTTCTTTTCAACTGGCTGGCAGGGACTTTTTAAAATATTTCACTTCTAAAATCAAAACAATTCTATGTGGTCATTTTAAGTTGTGCCTACGTGGATTTGGGGGGGGGAGGGGCATTGGTGTTTTCCCTTTAATTTCTCTTTTTAAAAAAATACTTTCTTACAATGTTTATCACTATATCATTTCATCAATATGTTTGGCATTACAATCACCTACCCCGTTCTTCCCATTTGGCCGATGAAGGGACTGATGGAACAGGAGAAGACCAGGGGTACAGAGAATAGCAGGCAAAGAGAAGGTGTACCTGAACATGGAGGACTGTTTGCACTCCAGGAGCAGCATCACCCTGCAAAGGAGCTGGAAGCCTTCCCCTGCCATTCTCATTTTTTCATCAAGACTTGGCTGGGGTCACCTCTCTAGTGTTTCCCTCATGATTTCTAGTGACTGTAATGACACCAGCTGGCACCTGCTAGATACATACTCAATTTATCAATGTTTCACTTTTTTGGAAAAAAATTAAAATCGAAAACTTTTAAGAACAGCGTTTTCCTAAAACAGAAATGAAATGAATCCATTTCAACAATGTAGATGCCAAAACTGGTTTAAATCACCAGAAATAAACTGATTTCCATTCAGTGCATGTGAACATAGCCACTGGTTTAAACACCATGTGACTTGGAGCCTGGTGCCACTGACCATAAAAACCACTCTTGTATCAGGTTCTGCTAAAAAAACCCGAAATGACTCAAATGTAGGTGTACACACGAGGTATGTGCATGTGCATGTGCAGAGTAGTGTGCCAGGACAGCAAGTTTTTCTTCTCCACCAGAGGTACATTTATTTTATGGAGGATGTGGAATTGATTTCACATATGCAAACGGCCCTGATAGGAGGAGAAAAACTTGCTCTCGCTTGCCCCCTCATTCACCCACCCATTCACACAATTCCCACCAGTGTGATCCCTAACCAGCTCAATTGCCTGCCCCCCTCTGCCTCCGTGTTCAGCCCTGCCAGCCCGACCACCCCTACCACCAGCCCGCTGCTCGTGACTGACCTTGTTTTGACAGGCGGCGGCAGTGACATAGGTGGTGGAGGTGGCAAAGGTGAAGATGCACACAGTGGCACAAAAGCTTTGAATTCAGGCTAGTCCACATGACTTTAGCCCAAATCCAGAAGAAACGATCCCTCTGCCAGTTTATTCTGGCAGTGGGATCAGGCCCTTTACCTGACTGTGAACTCTGCAGTAAAATTGATTTCAGTGTGATCACAGCTTTATTAGCTTACGACGGATTGTAAAAGCAGATGGAATAATGGCTCAAATGAAGGTAGCAGAAGATTCAAGAAGAATCCACCTGCTCTGCGGCAATGATGGTGGCAAAGAATTTAGCAAGTGATTTGGAACTTCAGGTAGCCCTTGTAGTCAGGCAAAGGCAAGAGTCAGGAGGGCATGTGGTCACTCTCTGGTCCCTTACTGTTTGCATTCTAAGGCAAGAGCAATACGGAGTTCTCAGGAGTCCAGCTGAGATTCATAAAACAATGAAATGAAACTTTCATTGCAGATCAAAGCCTTCCACCCTGGCTAATCTGTGGAACTGACAGAAAAGAACAATATGAGACTGCACAGTGACTTGTTTTCTGCACCAAAACAAAACAAAGTAAACTAAACTAAAATGAAATGAAATAGAATAAAATATCATATTCAAATCTACAAGAGTTTGCCTTTGCTTTCTTTTTAATTATTCCCATTTCAAATAAATATACGCATTCAAAGAATGTCAATTCTACAAACATTCATGTACATACAGCACATATTTTGAGTAAAGCTCATTATCTGTGGAGTTCAGTACACTATTGAGTTTATAACATATGTTACCAAAATTTGAGGTGGTGTCCTTTTGGTTTGGAATCTGCAATGTATTTAATGAGGGGCTTCCATGTGACAAAGAAAGTGTTTGGCTTGGCTATCCCTTTTGACAGGTGAAGAGCATGTGTTAATTTTTCTGCCAACGCTGTCTGCCATTTTCTTTTGAACCAATTCTCTGTTCTCCACCCTTCCGGCGTCCTCCACCATGCTATTTCTAGCTATGCTGCAGCTAGTAGGAAGGCCATACCTTTTAAGGTACCATAAAGTTAACGATGGAGCTAGTGCTGCCATTGAAATGTTAGAGAGATCTGGACCATTGTTTTCTTATGCACATCAGTTCTTATTTATCCTTGTGTGGATCCATCATTTTTCTTTCAAGTATCCGAATTTACACATAGTGGTCATGACTGTGCCAGCTTCTGTAGTCTAGCATTACAATGAAGAGAACAAGTTGAAAGAAAACTGAGGGCACAACTACAGTAGTGTGCTTTTCAGCTGTGGGCAGGCTGTCTTCCAGACCTTTAAGAGAAAAACAAGGAAATGCTATTTATTTATTTATTTATTATTAGACTTATTACCCCGCCCCTCTAGACAACGTCTACTTGGGGCGGCTTACATGAATAAAAACAGAAGAATATAAACAATATAAAATAATCTAAAACATACAGTAGTTTTAACACCTATTCCTAAACAGCATATAACCAAGATGGCATAACTCAAGGAAAAAGGATAGGGATCAATTAACTGACTGGAGGGAAGGCCTGCCTGAAGAGCCAAGTTTTTAAAAGGCTTTTAAAAACACCCAGCGATGGTGCTTTTTAACATCCATATAAACAATATAAAATAATCTAAAACATACAGTAGTTTTAACACCTATTCCTAAACAGCATATAACCAAGATGGCATAACTCAAGGAAAAAGGATAGGGATCAATTAACTGACTGGAGGGAAGGCCTGCCTGAAGAGCCAAGTTTTTAAAAGGCTTTTAAAAACACCCAGCGATGGTGCTTTTTAACATCCCATAAAATGGCTTTTAAAAACACCCAGCGAGGGTGCTTTTTAACATCTTGTCTCAAGGGTGCTTTTTAACATCCCTGCCCACTCCTGTTTTCACTCACTTTGGCTTTTATTATTATTTTTTAAATGATGTAGCACATATGCACTACCATAATAATTCAATTTTTTTTCACTTCCTCTGCCCTCCACGGAGCAAAGGAAGTGTTTAGCCAATATCCTTATGTGGTTTTCTTATTAAACCATTGCTAGAGTTTACTGTATCTGATTGAGATTTTCCAAGCGTAAAGGGAAGGGAAAAGCTTTATCTGTTGAATGTCTGCCTCTCCAGCTGCTGCTACAAAAGACACAAAAGCTATGCACGGAAAGCGGGAGAAAACTGCTGTCCCCGCGTAATTCAAATGTCGGGTGAATAGCCCACTGCGCGTTATCCAGCCTCCTGACCCTCAGAAGCTGCCCAGTCAAGGCTGATCGGAACATATTAAGCCGGCGAACGTTTAAAACGGGGTATGACGCTGGCCCTTTAAGGAAAGCGTTTGCTCAAGCTCGCGTCGCTTGGTATTTGCCCTACAGGATGACGTATATTCTCCGCGACTCCTGTTTGCTGTAGATTCCACGTGGTTCCCTCTCTGTTGTGGGGCGGCTCTCGTTTCTCAGGGCTATGGAAGGGGTGATGTCAGGAATGGCCCCGCCACAGAAGCGCTTCTACCGGCAGCGAGCGCACTCCAACCCGCTGGCGGATCACACGCTGCGTTAGTGAGTGTGAAAGGAACCTGAAAACTCCCTCCTTTCCCGAGATGCTGCAGCTGCTCGTCCGGCTGTACCTGCGGGCTCCTGGGCATATTCCCGCCTGCGTGTCGGGTTTTTTTTGTTTTGTTTTGTTTGCTATCTGCGGGAGCGGTTGCTTGTAGGCTTCAGGTGTTTTGGTGTTGCGCGCATCCCGATCCTAAATGCAAGTCGCGATTGGAATGCGTACAGTTTAATTCAGTGGGCACTGCCTTCTGAGTAAGCTTTCTTAAAGGTCGCACTTCACACAAGGATGTGGGATCCCCTTCCACTGAGACAAGATCTACTAGTTAGCATCAGCCAACGATTGGCTGTTCAGACGAGTAGTGCATCTCTGAAGTCATGAATTTTAGTCCTGCTTCCTGAAATTGTTTGACTCGGTTTTTGCCCCCGAGGGCCACAGAGAAAGTGGGCAACCGGTTGTGGACACCTGGATCCCTCCCTCCTGCAGAGGGACCCTGAGTGTTTTTCTTTTCTCATACATGCATGATATGCTTCCATGTAGACAAGCAGATACACAATCACTCTCTGCATGCCCAGTTTCAGACACTAACCTTGTGCCTTTCCCTCTTTAGTTCCCAGTGCAGCCAAGGTAATAATACTTCCTGTGCTGTTAATAATGGCACTGGGAATTAATAGACATAAAAATAGCTGGAAACATTAATTCCAGGTGTAAAATAAAAACTGTGTTCTTCACATGTTTTTAACTACTACGATATCAGTTCCTACCAACAAAACCAAATGGTAGAAGTTGTAGTGCAAGGCAGATGGAGGGCTCCAGGTTGGTCACCTTGTGTTTAATCTCACACCAGTATTCCCTCTGACAAATGCGTACAGTGGAACCATTGGGGTGGAGTGGTGCAGAGTTGAACGTTTTGATCCCCTGGTCCCATTGTGTGTCAGATTGGTGTCCTTGGGCTCTTTCCCAGCTCTGTGGCAGTCATCTGGAGTGCATCAGAATCAGTGTGTAGGCAGAAGACTGCACTGGAAGCACTCCAACGCCTAGTGGTTCCAGTGTAGTCTGTTTATTCATTGTTGACTTGCTCAAAGCGGGTTAGGTTCGTATGACTTGAAGGGATGTAGAAAGAGTGATTGAAGGCCATGTATGGGTATGAGACAATGGGTTGCTCACGTAAGTTATATCTCAGTGCTATGGAACCAGTATCCTTTAGGTGGAAAACGTGTGTGGCTACCCTATGGCCTGCCTTTTTATGCAACTGTGTAAACATAACCCAGACAAAGTACTGTACTGTATGACCCTCCAATTATTTTAGGATACAGTTGATACTAGCCCCAGCCAGCATGGCCAGTGATGGGACTGATTCAAATTGGGGAATTGTAGTTTAAATAACAGGAAGAGGGGAAGTTTTATGCATTCTGTAGTCATTAAATTCTGTATTCATTAGCAGCACAGCCGTTGTATATGGTTTATACAGCCTTTGGATGCTTTCTCAGAAGAAAGTGCCACTAAGTTGAGTCATAAGGGTGTCATTTAAATATGCATAGATGCATAGAAATAAGTCCCATTAATGTCACCAGGACTTATATCTGGAGTATGTCTAAGACTGCCATTAATGTCACCAGGACTTATATCTGGAGCATGTCTAAGACTGCTGCCTTAATGTGTACTTGCTTGGAAGTAACTCTTATTGGACAAAATTGGGCTAATTAAATAAATAAATAAATAAATAATGTGTACTTGCTTGGAAGTAAGTCTTATTGGACAAAATTGGGCTAACGTCAATGTAAATGTGCCTAAATGCAGGGAGCATTTATTGCAACACAGTTGTGTCTCTATCATGTGTCTTCATGTATATATAAGCCCCACTATGTTTGTTAGGATTTACCATAGGTTGTAAATAATATGTTATCAGGAAAAATGTGACCTGAAACTCATCCCTTTTGGGGTAAAGATGGGACAGTAGTGGTCTTCACTTTGTGACATCAGTGATGTTGTGGTAGTTGGCTGCATGTAATGTTGGCTGAAACCCTGTTGCTTGGCATAGTAGTAGGAGTACTCACTACAGTAGACCTATTGAATCAATGAGGAATACAGTGAGTCAACTTGTCCATAAATTCCATTGATTCAAATAAGCTGCTTCTAGTTGTGATTTGCTATGCTGATGTAAGTTGCAACTAGAGTAGGCTTATTTGAACCAATGGAACTTCACCAAATCCTCACTGATTCAGTGGACTTTTTCTAGTGCAGCTTACTATAATAAAGCAACAGGGTTTCAACCATTGACTTGTTAATTCTAAAATATTCTAGGGAATGGACTTTGAGCTGGTTGTTGGTTGTTCCAGCGTCATCAGCACTACAGTGTTTCCCCCCAAATAAGACAAGTCTTACATTAATTTTTGCTCCAAAAACGCATTAGGGCTTATTTTCAGGGGATGTTTTATTTTACAGTCATGTCATCTTCTGGTTGTTGCATAATGTTGCACAATGGTGGAGGGTGGGGTTTCACTTAACTAGGGCTTATTTTTGGGGTAGGGCTTATATTAAGAGCATCCTGAAAAATCATACTAGGGCTTATTTTCAGGTTAGGTCTTATTTTGGGGGAAACAGAGTGAACAGCATTGTCACTGCTGTCAGAACTGAATATCACATTTTGCTAAATACCAAACTCCATACAGTACTCAGGTTATACCTTTATGGGCTAACCAAAAAGACTTGAAGTCTATAGACACCCATGTCTTTTTGTATGATTAATAAATTAAAAGTAGAACTTCACTATGTAGTTTGGAATTCATCTTAATACACACTTTTTGAGTGGCCTATATAGGCATCACTTGGACTATGATTTTAATTTTGTGCCAGCTCACAGCAGCCAGAATACTCTGGGCCCAAAAATGGAAAAGCAAAGAAACCCCAACGATAGAAGAGCTGTTAAAGAAGCTATGGGATACAGTAGAACTGGACACACTCTCAGAAGCATTACGGGAACAACCAAGAGACTATGTAAAATAAAGCTGGAAACTAATATATTTTTGGGCCCAGAAGAAGACAGGAGTGTAGGGCAAATTTGATTATATATGTATATGTATTCAGTTCCCACGGGGAACCCAGCTGGAGAGAACAGAGAGTCAAACGAAGCTGGAGTCTCTGACTCCAAAGGGGGGAGGGTTTAGCTTAATAGGAGGGTGTTTTTTTGTTGGTGTTTTGTTGTATGTTTTGTAGCATATTAATTCAATAATTTTTTTTGTGCCAGCACAGTTATCATTGCTTTTGTCAGTAGTGCCTTACTCATAAAAGTGAGAAGTAAAATGTTGCCTTTGAAAGAATAACACTAGCAAAGGTAGCATCTTTAAACAATGTTCCAAGTTGTGAGACTAATTCCAAAATTAAGTGTTTATTGAATCACAACCTTTTGAGTTCTGATACTAAATACAACTAAGGAAGTTGTTTCCAATAACAGTAAAATGCATCGACTGTGCTGCAATTTTTTTTCCAGATAATTGTGGTTAGGATGTCATCCTAAATTCTTTTGTCTGGGTCTTAGTTGGGTAGCAGAGGGACATATAACCATTTTGTTTGTGAGTAGTGCAAGTCTATGGAATATATCTGAAGATTCTCAGTCATCCAGGTGAGGTTATCTGGAAGTTGAGTCATGGCAACTGGACTTCTTTCTTATTAGGTTGAAACATTTCGCTATTCATCCACCGGCGGCCATTTTGGGGCTTCCGGCGGCCATTTTGGCCGCCGAACAGCTGGTCGTCGGGGCTTCGTTTTGCGAAGATCGGTAAGCGAAACGCTTACCGATCTTCGCAAAGCGAGTTTCGCCCTATCTAAGCGTCGTTGAGCGATCGCATTAGCGATCCCAAAAAAGGGATCGCTATGCGATTTCGTCGTTGTACGGTGCGCTCGTTAAGCGAGGCACCACTGTAATATAGGAAGTTGTTTCCAATGACAGTAAAATGCATTGACTGTGCTGCAATTTATTTTCAGATAATTGTGGTTAGGATGTCATCCTTAAATTCTTTTGTCTTAGTTGGGTGGCAGAGGGACATATAACCATTTTGTTTGTGAGTAGTGCAAGTCTGTGGAATATATCTGAAGACTTTCAGTCATCCAGGTGAGGTTATCTGGAAGTTGAGTCATGGCAACTGGACTTCTTTCTTATTAGGTTGAAACATTTCGCTATTCATCCAAGACTGAAGAAGCTACTTGGATGAGCAGCGAAACATTTCAACCTAATAAGAAAGGAGTCCAGTTGCCGTGACTCAACTCCCAGAAAGTCTATGGAATGTCTCTGGAGAGGTGAATCATTGGGCTATTTTTCTGTATCTTGAAATTATGAGAATCATGTTTCCCTGGTTTGATTTTTTTGGTAACCTTTGAAATCGGGAATAAACATTTTTCCATGGAAGTGGTTTAGTAGGCAGGAAAATGGTGGCCACTTGGAAGCACTGATCTAAACCATTTCAGTCCATGGTTAACATGGGACTTGTGCACCTTCCTTTCATTTTCCATCTTAAACGTCAGAAGGAGAATGTATTCGCGAAGGCTTCAACTGTGCATTCAATCAGAAGGAGACTCCGTGCCTTCACCATGGTCACCAAAGCCCTCCATCCCTCCAAGTTTGCTCTAACATTTTGCCTGATGAACAATTCTGGAGTCATCAAAATCCTGCAGAATTGGGACATTTCAGCCAGCCTTTAGAAAGATATTGCTCTAATAAGGATTTAATTTTTTCTTTTCTTTTGACCAACCCAACTGCCTTGTCTTTTTGTGTACAATTTGGTTTGTGAATTGTTCCTCTTTAGCAGCGTTGTCTCACAGAGCCCTCTTGTTTTCTTTCCTGTCAGCCCAGCCAAGCCTGAAGAAATGGACTGGTCTGAGTTGTACCCAGACTTTTTTGCCCCTGTGGTGAAAGGCGATCAGCATGATGACCCAAAGGATGCAGAGGAGAGAACCAAGCCTGCAGCTCAAGTTGAGTTTGCTGATATTGGCTGCGGTTATGGAGGATTGCTGGGTAATTATTTTTCTAGTTACAGGTAGCATGTGGTGAAGCCTAGGCCATGAGATTTTTGTCATGTTTGCACTGTAACCCCTGGAATTCACCAGGAATTCCCCTAGCCAGAATTCTGGGAGCTATAGGCAAGAAATTTTCAATTGCCCACAGGTATAGGCCTCAAAAAATCTCCTTAGTGACCTGCATTTTGGCTCTGGAAAAGAAAGGAAGTGGCTTAGACAGGCTAAGGAGCAGGGGATCCACAAGGGGTTATGGGACTGGTGGCTTTTTGAGAGCCATCCTGGACAGGGCCTAAATGACAAAGAGCGACCACCATTTTGGGTTATTGTGGGAAAAAAAAGGCAGGATATAAACATTAAAAAAAATTAAACTGACTCAAATGATAAAGAAAACATTTATTGTCTTGAAATCTGACTCTCTCTTCGCCAGGGAAGTGTGAAACTTTAAACAAGATTTTAGAACAAAATGCAGCCGTAGAAGACTGCAACACTAACTCATTGCGAGCTGCTTAGTGTGATACAGGGCTGGATAGCTCAGTGGTTTAGGTCTGTGACTTCAGAGCTAAAGGATAGGAGTTCGATTCCCCACTGTGCCCTCTACCAGTAGATCCACTTCTGAGTGCTCTCTACCTAGAAAAGCCTGGAAAGGGTCACTATAAGTCGAAACTGATTGAAGGCACATTATTATTACTACTAGTAGTATAATACATTGAATAAGATCTAGCAAAAATTGCTACTGCGAGTATGTAAGTGCAAAATGTATCTGTGTAGTACTGTAAGACAATTAGTTTTATTTGAAAAAAGTATGTACATCAGTGTGTGGATAAACTTGAAAATGTGCCAGTTCTTCCTGAAATCTCAGAAGTTGGGAATTTTGACAGTCATGGGTATGCCATCTCTCTGCATCTGGTACTTTTTCCTTCCCCATCAGAATAAATTATGCCAGTATAGGGATATTTTCTTTACTTGCTAGTGCACTCAAGTTGCATAACTATATGCTTTTTTTTCATAACTGAGGTTAAATCACAGTGGGAATGTGCTTCGTTAAAATATATATTAATACACTCACCTGGATGTTGTAAAGACAAACCGTGTCATCTTCTTAAAATGAAAACCTGTTGCTGACATCATGATTAGAAAGCTATGGATGAATTCCCACTATGGTGATTTGCACAGGATGATGCCAGATTTCTTGTGAAACTTCTGATTAAGACACCAGGTTGTGCCCTTAGCTGCTAGTGATAAACTATTCGTGTGATATGGTGTCACTCCTTGAATTAGCCATATGAATCTTATCACACACAACATGTCACAAGGATGGGTTGGCAAGAGGTCCCACCATTTTTGCAGGCTTATTTGGTCAGAATGAGAGAAAGGACCTTCTCAGCGGCTGTTTCCTGGCTTTGGAGTACCCTGTCCTGAGAAGCAAGATTGGCCCTTTTTCCTTCTTGTCCATCCATCATCAGACAAAGGACCTTCTTTTCCAGGCAGGCTGTTTACCAATAACTGAATACTTTAGGAATACTGCATCAGTTGAGTTCAAAGATGTTTGAGATGTTCTAAAATGTTTTTTTTTAATGGTGGTTTTTAATATTGTTATATAGTTAGTTTTTTTAGTGCTGTTTCTTATAGGACAAAATCCTGTTGTGCAGTTATATAAGTGCTATCCACAAAGCATTTCTGTTGGTGCATTGTAAAGTTTGTTATGCCAGTGACACATGACCAATAGCACGACTGAATTGCACTATTCCTTATTACTGTAACACCTGGCACATTTATGCAAGCATAACTTTACTTTGTGTCTGCATGAACAAGATTTGGTCATGATGTTTTTAATGGTAATTGTGCAGTATTAACTGACCTGAGTTGCTTTGAATCCCCTGCAGAGAGAAAGGAAGCATATTAGATACATACGTATATAAAATGTAAAATCACTCGGGACCTTCTACAGTTCAAGCTATTTCTCTAGAGACATCCTAGAGACTTTACCCCTTCTACTTGTATCAGAATCAAAAGGAAGTCCCAGTAAATTCTGTTTGAGTTATAAGTCCATCCTGTGCAATGAGTTCACTGGATCTTACTCCCAGATATACATGTACAGGACTGCAAACACATAGAAAGCATGCCTTGGGCTGAATATTTGTTCTTTTCCATAAGTGAAACTGGATGGAGTTGGGGTGGAATCAACACATAGCTATTCCTTTGGACCTCACTGTTCTGACAGAAGAAATTCCACGTTGGGTACCATCCTAAGGCTACTATCTTGGGCACGTTTAACTGGGAGAAAACTCATTACATTAGATTGGACTCACTCTGAAATATGTGTGCATTCAGTCAAGCAAAACCTTGACACCTGAGCGCTCTGCCTGGAGGCAGGTGGTGCATCATGGCCTCTCCCATTTAGAAGAGACACTTGTCTAGTAGGCTGAGGCAAAGAGGCAGTCCTGAAACCAGCAAGGTCAGGGAGCTGGGCAGGGGACAGATTGGATTTGTCTTCAGTGTGGAAGGGATGGTCACTCTTGAATTGGCCTTCTCAGCCACACTAGACGTTGTTCCAGCTCCTCCCTACAGAGCACGTTACCATAGTCTCTCAAGACTGAAGGATGCCTAATCTATTCAATCAAGCATATAAATAACTCCTGCTACAGTGCTTTGTACTATTGAAATCAGTGGGTTTCCTTCCATCCCTCCTTCCTTTTCTCCCGCAACTCCTTGGCCATTTCTATCTACTGTTGAAAGTTACTGTATATTGTAAGCTGCTTGTATAAAGACACCCTTTATGTCTTTTGCTTTTATTTTATTTTCCTTGGAAAAAATGGCTTTCTAAAGTACCAACCAAGCTAATGGTTAAAACTAATGGTATAGAACCTCTATAGATGTGTTTGGCTTCCTATCATTTCTACCCAGCTTCTCCTGTTGAGATTCTTGCAGAGAACACCAAACTCACTGGACCTTGATCTCTTCTAGCAGTGCTCCTTCTGTTCTTAAGCAGGGCTTCAGTGCAGTCCTGCCCAGCTATGCTGTTAACTATTAAGAAATCCCCAGCTGTATATCTTGGCTGTGGAATGTGTAAAAATGAAACATATTGGTTGTCCATAAAAAAGCACCTCCCCCAAAGGTGTAGACCTCTGTTCTGTTGGCTTTTTAGAGGAAGGATGGAGACAGGTAGACGAAGGCAGTGATGAACAGTTGTGGGCTTCCAGATTTTGTTGGGTAACAATGCCTTGCAGTTTGCTCCGTGAGCTAGCTCTTTTGCCCAGGACTGATGGGAATGGCATTCAGACATCACCATGATTGCACATTACTCCGCTAAGGGAAGCAACCGGGGCCCATCATTAGAGCTTACATTTGCAAAACTCACGCAAAGCTTGAAAAATTACTTTTTGACTACAACTCCCAGAATCATCTGGCCAACTAGGAATTGTGGCAGCTGTAGCCTCAAAATCTAACAGGCTGCCAATTTGTACATGCCATGGAATATTACTTTGCCTGGTGCAGGTCTTTCTGAAAAATATACAAACTATAAATCATTCAGTTTTTTAAAATATTTTCCATCCATTGTTTATGGAAAAGGGCAAGAAGATATCCAGGGCTCTGAAAATCTGCCCTTTGAGTTTCTAAATTGTGCTGGCTTCTGAAGATTTTCTTTTTAGTGTTACTGGCACACTTTCAAGTGTACCTTTAACACTGTAAGGTTTGGAAGATAATTGCTTAAACATCAGTGGATCAATACATTTTGTTTCTCACGTAGTCATTGTTCCAGGACATTGTCTGAGTAGAAGGCACACAAAACAGCCACTTTTCTGAAGTTGGGGTAAGCATTGGTCCACTTTATGCCCTCCTTGGGGGAATTGCTTGGGAATTCCCAGCTATTGTTTGGCTTTGTTTTTCCACTGTAAAGAAAGCTGGGATATAAATGCAACAGTGGCCGTTATTATAGAGCGGTGGTTCCCAGCCTTGGGCAACCCAGGTGTTTGTGGACTGCAGCTCCCAGAAACTCCAGCCAGCACAGCCAGTGGTAAAGGCTTCTGGGAATTGCAGTCCAAGATCACTTGGCTTAGGAACCACTGTACACCACTGTACGAGAACATTGTGTGTGTAATGCGACCTATAAATATGTTTGCTGTGTGCACAGCTTGGAATAGTTTTTTGACAGGCAATTCCAAAAGTCCTAGCAATGGGCCATTGTATCTGGAGGATTCTGGGTGCTGGTGCTAATTGGGCCATTCTACAGCCAAGGTGTGCTACAGCTGAGCCCCTTCTTCTGCTTCTCTGCACAGGGTGCTGCTCCCAGTAATGGGACGCCCTCGCCCGGTCCCGACAGATGCTAATGCTTTTGTTCCCTGTTTCAGTGGCTTTGTCTCCCCTGTTCCCCAATACATTAATTCTTGGCCTGGAGATCCGAGTGAAAGTCTCAGACTATGTGCACGACCGGATACATTCCCTGAGAACATCTCATCCCGGGCAGTTCCAGAACATTGCCTGCATCCGCAGCAACGCTATGAAACACCTGCCTAACTTTTTCCACAAGGGGCAGGTGAGTTTCTGGAAGACGCTTCAAGAAGTTCTGTGGATGAGGAAGTGATCTCTCTTTTCTGTTCTCAGTTCCAATAACAATTGTGTGGATGTTTTGAAAGGCCCCAGACTTTCACACTTCGTATGTCACCTTTCTTTGTCATTTCTCACCATTTCTACTGAGACGGAAATTGTCGCAGTTGTATGTATTTTTCCATGGATAATTCGCAGTTCGGTAGAGTACGCGCTGTATAGTGTAGCTTTAAATTTCCAAAAAAAAGAGATCATGTAATGCTGCTGCCTACTGTCAAATTGGATCCTTCTAATCAAGTTCTGTCTGCCTGTTCCATTCCTCCCTCTTCTTATAGCCCTGCCCTGCAAATTTGTTGTACTACAATGTCCATCCTGCTTAGCTAGCACAGCCAGTGGAGGTTTTGGGAGCTATCACCCCATACTTGGCCGCCTCTCTGCTAACATTCAGAAGGCAGCTTCAAATACTGCTCTTCAGCGACGCCTTTTTATAACGATCCTGCCTCTGATGTGTGGCACCTCTGCATTTCGCTCTTAGACAAAGTGCCTTTGTTTTACTGCTGTTCTGATGGATGGTTGTATGTTTATTTTTTTACAGTTTTACACGTTTTGATACTGGCTATTTTATTTGTTGTGAAATACCAAGAATAGTGCATTGCACTAATGAGGTGGTCTATAAAACTATTTAAATACATTAAATAAATACATAAAGAGTGTATTCTAAATGGCTGGGTTTCTTCAGAGCTATAGGTAGGTACCTTTCACATCCCCTCTCTCCGAGATTCTCCTAAATCAAAAAGGACAGGGAGAGAAACTAGAAACACATTCAGAGCATCTGCGAAGGTGTGGCCTTATTCCTTCGGGTTTGGAGGAAGAATATGATGAATGCCTTCTGATACCGTTGGCCATTTGTTGGGTGAACCACTCGTAGGGACTATGTTTTAAGTTGCAGATTGGGAGGGCAGCATTTTTATGCCACCTAAGTTCTGATGGGGAGTCCTTTCCCTTTCTTTTTCAGCTGTGCAAAATGTTCTTCCTTTTTCCTGATCCTCATTTCAAGAAGACGAAGCATAAGTGGCGGATTATCAGCACTACTTTGCTCGCAGAATATGCTTACGTACTGCGTGAGCAGGTGAGCGAGTGGGTTACCCCCTGGGTTCCTAGAAGATAAAGAATGTCAAAACCGCAGGCTCAGTATGTGGAGCTTGGACTGAAAGAAGGGGGCAGGTTCTCTGGTAGAAGTCATCCGTGGGCCGTGTACTTGCAAAAAATGTCTAGAGGGCACCCCCACCCCCGGTCTAGACATTCCCTTTCCTCTAGAACACTCCCATGTGCAATGAATGAATGGGGGATGTGTCTGCACTTTGGCGTTTTCCTGTCCTGATCCTTTGTTCCAGTCTGCTTCCTGGAGATGGGCCAGAAGTAATGCCCTACGCATTGAATGTCACCCCATGAAGACCACAGCAATAATTAAGATTTTCTGAAAATCCAAGTGCATCTAAGCATTCCCCAAGCCTGTGGACTCAAAAGCTTGGGAACTTTGAACACAAGGAGAAGTAAGGATTGCTAATGACTGCCAAAGAGGGATGATTAACTTTTCCCTTGTATCCAGCAGATGGCTTGGGTTGGCGGAGTTCCTTATAGGGAGAGATCTCTGTGTCATCTCAATGCCTGCTTTTTCACCACTTCCTCCAGGGCACTGTGGCTGATTTTGCTTTCACCTGCACGAGAAAAGACAGAGTGCTCTCTGTGCGCGCATGTATGTGAGATCTCGTTTTCATGATGAATCAGACATTGGCCTCACCCAGCGCTGGCATGAATCACTCCCAATTCTTCCAGTATCTTCCCCCAAGGCCATCACAGTAAAGGAAGAGGTTGGGGTGGAGTTCTGTCGACATGCTAATATGTTTCGTAGAATTGATGACGAGAGATCACGGAGATGGCAGTCACTGAGCCCCAGGTTGCATTGAAATCAGAGCCTTCAGGACTTGGGGATTACTCATGTAGGGAAATAGTCTGAAACCTACCTTCTTACCTGCTTGGTTTTTTTTTTTCCTTCTCATAATCTCTGTGGACCCCTAGATCATATCGAACTACAGTGCCTATCATTCCTGATGTTGAAGCATGTTGGCTGGGGCTGATAGGAGCTGGAGTCCAGCAGTGTCAGAAGGGCCACAGATTCCCACTTCTAAATCAAAACGTTCTTCTTTGCAGGAGATGCTTTCCTTTTTATCCCCAGGATAACCAGCTAGGATGTGGTAGACCATGGGAGGAGACTGACTCACGTCCTGTGTTCTGCTCATTGTAGCCTCCCCTTCTCTCACGCAGGGCCTGGTCTACACCATCACAGATGTGGAAGAAGTACACAAGTGGATGGTAAAGCACTTCCAGGAACACCCACTCTTTGAGCAAGTGCCATTGAAAGAACTGGTGAGCAAGTGAGAGAAAGTGTGTGTACATCCGTGCTCGCTCGTGCGTGGATGTGCAATTTCCGATTGGTGTTGCAATACCCAAACCCGTGGCCATTGAAACCGTACGCATGCAGGCTGTTCTTTGATCCCTCCATGGTTTTCCTGATTCTGGCTGCTGCTCGTGTGTGTCTCTCTCGAAAAACAAAAACTTCATTCATGGCCTACCCACACAAAACTTTCTCTTTTTTACAGGAAGAAGTAATAATAATCTCTTCACATTAGATACATGCAGAAATAAGAGGACTAAGGAGCAACCTTTTTAATTATAAGCCCAACAAGTTCAGAAATAACTGTAAGCTTACACATCTAAAAGACATTTTATGTATCACAGAGACATATAGTTCAACTACTGGGACGCCTGTTGTTCCAAAAAAAGTAATCTTATCATAATCGTAGATCTGCAGTGCTGGAAGCGACCCTATGGATCATGGAGTCCAGTCCCTGTCAAGGAAGCACAAGTGGGGAATCCAGCTCCCAACCTCTGGTTCCACAGCCAGATGCCTCAACCACAGAGCGATCCAGCATAAATAAATGATTCCCACTTTTCTCTGGAAGGGGTTGTTGGAGTGAATCCCTCTCATCACTGCTATATGCCCTGTTTCCCAGAAAATAAGACCTAACCTGAAAATAAACCCTAGTAGGATTTTTTAGGATGCTCCTAATATAAGCCCTACCCCAAAAATAAGCCCTAATTAAGTGAAACCGCGCCCTCCACCCTTGTGCAGTCACCCGAGGTCCCAAAAATAAGCCCTAATTAAGTGAAACTGCGCCCTCCACCCTTGTGCAGTCACCAGAGGTTGACATGACTGTATTTGAATAAACGTAGATTATTGTACATGAAAAAAATGTCCCCTGAAAATAAGCCCTAATCCTTTTTTTGGAGCAAAAATTAATATAAAACCCTGTCTTATTTTCGGGGAAGTGGACGTGGTGGCGCTGTGAAGGGATGTGGTGGTGCTGCAGGCTAAACCACAGAAGCCTGTGCTGCAGAGTCAGAAAACCAAGCAGCTGTAAGATCGAATCCACGCGACGGAGTGAGCTCCCGTCGCTTGTCCCAGCTCCCGCGAACCTAGCGGTTCGAAAGCATGCAAATGCAAGTAGATAAATAGGGACCGCCTCGGTGGGAAGGTAACAGCGTTCCGTGTCTAAGTCGCACTGGCCATGTGACCACGGAAGATTGTCTTCGGACAAAACGCTGGCTCTATGGCTTGGAAACGGGGATGAGCACCGCCCCCTAGAGTCGAACACAGCTAGACAAAAATTGTCAAGGGGAACCTTTACCTTTACCTTTATGGTGTGCAGCATACAAGTTGCATACATCTCTGAGGGGGATTGCTGCAACCCCAAATCTCTTTGCTCCCCCAACCCACCCCTTTTACAAATCATGCCTCCCAGAGGCCTTTGTATAGTCACCCCCTTTCCCTTCCAAGGTTGCCTCATGTTAAAAGGCCTTGGGGGGGGGGAGTTGAAATTAAAAGGCCAACCAATTCCTCTTAAAAATACACCTTAAACAGGCCCCAGAGGGTTACAAAATGGGGCATATAATCAAAACCATTCCCTTCAAATTAGCTACTGATATTCTAAATTTTGCTTAGCTAGCCATCTGAAAGTCTTCAGTGGCTGGACTGATCCTGCTCTTCCTTTCACCGTAGGATCCTGCCTTCCCTCCCCTACAATGCCCATCATTCCCACCCAGCACGATCCGATTGGGGTTTTAGTCCAGTACATCTGAAGGGCTGTGGTTTCAAGAAGGTGGCAGTAGCGCATAAGCCTTGGTGAGCAGAGAACCAGCAAGTCAGTCCCATCCAGAGTAGACACAGTGGCTCAGTGGGATTTACATCAAGTGTTGACAACCCTTCAGCAACTCATTTAGTGGGTTTCCTCTTACTTGGGACTAACAGAAGGGCACTGGCTTGTCGGGTGGGGTGGGGAGGAAGGAGGATACTGTTTGTGTTTGAGAAAGAGTGTGACGACCTCCACTGAATAACAACAGTGTTTGCTTCCTCAAAAGGCAGATGACCCTGTTGTTGACCTCTTGGGAACCTCAACAGAGGAAGGGAAGAAAGTCCAGAGAAATGGAGGCAAGATCTTCCCAGCTGTTTTCCGGCGCATCAGTGACACAGCACAGACACAGGAAGGAACAGGAACATGACCAGGGAATTTCCTGAGCCCTCCCAAGCTTCACGTTGTCCATCTATGCCTGCGATGAGGAGAGGGCTTATAGCGTGGATTGCATAAAGACTAGGGTGGACTGAATGCCTCTGGTCATGCTGGAATCAAGCCGCTGTGAATGCAGGAGGGGAATCCCCTCTGGGGAATCCCTGGCCTCTTGCCTAAGAGATGGCTTGATTCACTCGCCATTGTTTTTATTTTGCCCATAGATGGATTGTGTCTGCCTTGGCGACAGAAGAGTGAGGATCAACTGCACAAAGCAGAACTAATAATTATATGAACAGAAGGAGAAAAATATTTTGACCCATGTCTGACTTTATTTTTGGATAAATAATAAATTAACAGATACAACGAGGTGGCTTGGAGTGACTGATGCCAGCCTGCTGTCTGTGGAACAGGGCAAGGTTGTACCTCCCTTTGTGGGCTTGGCCTCCGTGGCTACATCTGCATCCCACCCGGCCATTCCCATTCCTCAGTTTTCAAGTCCTGTTTCCTGTTTGTCCGGTGATGTGCGTCTGCCCCAGGGTGGTGGTGAATTGTACTTCTTGTGCCTTCATGCTGCTGCTCACCAGATCAGTGCCAATTCTAAATCACCAGAGCTTTATCCAAGGCCGAGGTGAATAGGAGCTGCATCACTGTAGAAGCCATGCTGCTGGGGGCAGTTTTAAGTGAACCGCTATTAGGCACGTGCTCTTTGGTCACTTGTTCTTTCTTTCTGACTCTAGATCCCAGAATCCTTCAGTCTGAAAGTTCCACCTGCCACACCCACACCCAAATTGAGCTCACCTGGATAAAGGCCAGGCTTAAAGGCTTCATGGCCTAGGACAGGCCAAGCTCCAGCCTAGCTTCCTGTTAGAAAAGGAAGGTATCCCAGGGCTTGCTGGTGGTTCCTTCCAGCCCAGACTTTATCCCAGTGAGCACAATTAAGGTGTGGGTCTCACAGCTAGAACTCTCAGAATGCAGAAGTCAGTGATTTGGAGTCCCCCCCCTCAAAAAAAAACCCTGAATGGTACATCCCTAATTGCTGTTGAGTTTCTGTTTGATAATTGTGCTAATGATTTGGCTTTTGATAATTGGCGTTCAGGGCCAACTTGCCATTTGGCAAATGAAATGGCCCTTTTAGCAAATGGGTTGGCTGATGAAAGGTCTCTAGTCCTTATTGATACAAAGACAACCTTGAAACCTTGAAAGTACAGTGGTGCCCCGCATAGCGACGATAATCCGTTCTGAAAAAAATCGTCGCTATGTGGATTCATAGCTATGCGGGGCAAAAAAGCCCATAGGAATGCATTAAAACACGTTTTCTTTCCTTGTTGCCACTAAAGAAATCTGTTAGCTATTGTAATGTGTGCATTTAATCCTCTGTGCAGATGGGAATATGCTTTAGGACAGATTTCTGAAACGACCAGTGGTCATAACATTTGTAATTACCTGGACTGAAGGAGACTATGCCGGGTGCAACGAAATGAGGTGCTCTTCCCCAAGGTAAAACTGGATTTCTGAAAAGACCAGTGGTCATAACATTTGTAATTACCTGGACTGAAGGAGACTATGCCTGCCTGACAGATTCCAGATTCTGCCTTGTGGCTTTTCCAGTTGCCACCAAATGCCTCTCTTTCTCTCTCTTGCATGAAAAGTGAAAGGCTAAAATATGTACCAGTAACTCCTGTCCATAGGGTGCCACAGTCATACAGTGAAGTAGCCATTTCCACAGTGATGGTCAGTGGTGGCTGGGTTGTCAGCAAGTGTCCTCTGAATTGGCTGTCCTTGGACTGAAGGTGCTGCCCACAACTCTAGATATGTTACCGGAGCTAGGGAGAGGATTTCTATGACATGTTGTATTTTTTCCTGCAGCCTCTGTTTGAACTGAGTTTGGATGTCTTTATGAGTAATCTGGTGAGAAAGGCCAGATTACTCATAAATATGTTTAAACCTGCTTGCGGGTTCAAGTAGAGGTTGCAGAGAAAGTGTGAAATGTCAGAAATCCTCCCCCTATCTTTTTGCATGGCAGGAGCTTTGTTTCAAAGACACTTAGTGTTCACATAAGGTTATACCTGTGCCAGATAATAGATTTTAATAATTGTATTCCAGGAGAAGCTGAATTCTAGGAACTATTAAACTTAATACATTCTTTCATCTTGATGGCCAGAAATCCCGTTGGGATGATGGCAAGTGGAAGGTTGGTCATGCAAGGGGGCTGCACTAATTTGCAGCCTTGCCTCCTTGTGCTCTGTTGTGCCATCACGGTGCATCAGTCACACAACAGGTGGGCTGCAGCAGGTGGAAACGACTTGCACAGCTAAGTTATGGGATACAGCAGAACTGGACACACTTATCAGAAGCACTACGGGAACAACCAAGAGACTATGTAACACAGCTGTTCTTGAAAGCATGGCAGGTGTTCAGCAACCTTGGTTTTATGAGATACAGTGGTGCCTTGCTTAACGAACGCCTCGGTTAACGACGAATCCGCATAGCAAAAGCGATTGCAACACGATGTTTCTAATGGCAAAAAATCGCTTTGCAATGATCGGTAAGCGTTTACCGATTTTCGCATAGCGATGTGTTTTTTTAACAGTTGATCGGCGGTTCCAAAATGGCTGCCGGGTAAAGGAAATGGTCCCCCGCTGTATTTTCGCGCCCTTTCCTCGCTTATCGGGCAGCGAAAATGGCGGCCGCATGGAGGATCTTCGCATTAAGGTGAGTTTTTTGCCCATAGGAACGCATTAAACATGTTTTAATGCATTCCTATGGGCTTTTTTGCCCCGCATAGCGACGAATCCACATAGTGACGATTTTTTTCAGAACAGATTATCGGCGCTATGCAGGGCACCCCTGTACTTTCAAGGTTGTCTTTGTATCAATAAGGACTAGAAACCTTTTTTTTAAATAAAAAGAACAGTGAAGTGCCCTCACGCTACTGAACATCTGTAGAACCAGTATAGAGCTGCAAATGATGCCCTTGTTCTTTCAATATGCCTTCAGATGATGAGGGATCTTATCATTTGAAGGAGATGACTCATTGTCAGACGGTAAGGCAAAGCAGTAAGCTATGCGCGTGCACGCCTATATGAGCGCTCCCGGCGGCTAAATTCCTGCATGAGCTAAACCTGAGTCACCCTTTTCCTTGCACCTCTACTGCAGCCTGTTGCATTTGCCCATGGCACAGGCTGCTTACCCAAGGTTATTGTAAGATCTTTACATCTGGGTGTGAATTCTTGCTTTGTATCAGAATGCCCAGTGTGGCAAGTTTGGTAATTCCTAGGATGCAGAGGGGCTCTGCTGGCTAGGAGTGAGAAAACATCTGGCTCAGGAGGAGGAGCTCCCTCCCCTACAGGCCAGGCATGAGAATGTAGAGATGTCTCAGGCTGATTAATAGAGGAACTAAAAGGAGGTTGTCTGAAATTAATTTGTCAAGGAAAATCCCCTTTCTTATTCCCACAACTGGACCAGACTAGATGTGGGGGAATTTTGTGCTCCTATTGCCCATTGTCCCAGAGAGCGAGCCAAAATGGATGCTACATGTATTCTGGCTCATCCCATATTAGTCTGGTTTTTATCTCAAAGAAGCAACAGCAAAATCTTTTAGAAAACTGAAAGAGGGTAGGGAAGATGACAGCGTTCCCCTGTTGTCATTCTCCAGCTGCCAGTTCAGTCATGTGGATGCATTAGCCAGCTTTCTGGAGGAATACAAATGGATACAGAGGGCTGTATGCCATGCCTGCTGAATACGACGGTTCCTTCGATAAACAGAGAACTTCATGTAATATCAGTTATACGGGTTTTTTGACTGCCTCCCTATTTGCCAAACAATGGCATTGCCCTGCACTAGATACACCTAAAAGGAAGGAAACAAAAATGTAGCTGCCTCTCCCCTCCACACACACACACAATGGACCATACTTCTCTTGTGAACAGGCCGTGGCTCCCCATTTGGCTGATGTGGCTTTTGTGTACTTGTTTACCACTCTTGGAGTGACAGGGTTGTAGAAAGCCTACATAGGCAGTCTAGTAATTCCACATAGATTCTGCAACAAAATGTGATTCAGGGGGAGTAAGTAAACTGCTGGATAGATCAGTGGCTGAGGTCTCCGGCTGCAGAGTTTGGGAGTTCAATTCCCCACTGGGCCTCCTTGACAGGAACTGGACTCGATGATCCAGAGGGTCTCTTCCAGCTCTGGAGTTCTAAAATTATTATTATAGTATTATATAAAAGATCTTCCTCCTGGTATGTGAATATTATAACATTTGCATTCTGCCTCCCCAGTTGAAAATAATTGCCCAACATATTTAAACATGGCCCAACTTTCATTTTTTAAATCAGTTTTAAAAAACCAACAACTACTAGAAGATAAGAATATGTATTTATTTATTTATTCGACTTTTATACCCCCATCTGGTTGTCAAGGCCACTCTGGGCGATTTAAACCATTAAACAATGTGTCATTGAACAACAGTTAAAACAGAAAGCATAATGGTATAATATCAAAATTAAACACAGACATGGCAACAACATTTAACTAATATGAAAAAAGACTGATGTTTGATTTAAAGAAAAAAAAGACCTTTTAAAAAGCAGAGCCATGAGGATGTTGCCAATGTGCACTTTATCCTTCTGGCTGCAGACTGAGCAGGTAGGTATGCAGGTCACAGGGTCATCATCTCCCCCACTCCAGCCATTTAAAAAAGTCTAGTCAATAGACCACTCTAGGCGGCTCAGGTCACAGGGTCACCATCTCCCCCACTCCAGCCATTAAAAAAAAAGAAATCAATAATCACGACTAAAATAGCATCTCTACAAATAAATCAGCATGTGCTAAATATATGTAAACATGTGATGTATTTCATTTCTTCATTTTCTTGGCAATTTGCAAATTAGCCCGATTAAATCCTGCACCTTCAAATAATCATGGGAGGCTGACGAAGATCCATGTGATTGGTATGTAATCCACTGGCTGAGGGAAGTGAGTAGGTCTTTGATCCTGGGGGAATGCCGAAAACTACAGAATGTGGCAATTGATATAAAAATCCTACTTCCTGACCAGGTCACATATTTTTTAAGCAAGTTTTCTAGCCGTTACTACAGCAGATAAACAAGGAGGTTGGGAAATGGAATGAAGCAATGGTGAACAAGTCACATTTCCATGCGGTTTCCTAATTGATGTCATTCATTCATTCATTTCTAGTGATGATACTCAACTTTGTTGCCCATCGCTAACAATGGATTCTCCCAAATAACATCTGCTGATGAAAGAGAATGCATGTGAAACAAAGGGGTACGTCCTCTTCCCCACAGCTTCCTTGCATGCTGTCAACATCTGGTGGGGAATGTCACCCAGTATAAGACAGATCAT